TTGCTAACCCCATCCAGAACAGTGAACAGAGCTCTTGTTACCAAGTTCAGGTACTGCCAAGTTCAGGTGCTACCAATTCCAGAGGCAACAGCTGCTCCCCAGCACCACTAAAATGGTCAGGCAGGAGGCTTTTGTTGTACTTAGGCCCAACAAAATATTCTTGGGGGTAAAAATGAAATATTTTATTCACAGAGAAGTTAAAATTATCTGTGCTGGGACAGAACTCAATTTAGTTAAATTTTAGTTCTTATTTTTCTTGAATAAAAGTTCTTTAATATAACAGTAATGTCAGAAATATTGTATTTTGTCTTCTAAGTCAGCACAGTTCCTATTTTTTTGGTACGTCGCAACTCTTATGTCTGCAGATGTTTTTAGAACATACCTAAAGCCTTAGCACACTCATTTCTTGGTTGTATCTGCAAATCTATCCTGAAGTTCTATGATATGTTGTCTTGATAAGATTTTGGTAATTTACAAAGAACTTGTGATACATTCACAGAGGAGCCTTTACCCTGCAAACGTATTTCATGATGGGAAACTCCCCTGTTTATATTTTTGCAGTAGTAGCATCTTGTGATGTGCAGTACAAAGAACCCTCATGTGAAACCACGCTGGGTTAAGGTCAGACTATTTTTGCCACGTGTCAGTCTTGTTACAAACTTCTTTCAAGGTTTAATTTCAGTGTAATAATAAGGCATGATAGAACAGCACATTTAATTTGTTTAAGTGAATGGCAATTCTAGAAAGAAAACTCCTGAACTGACCTGCACTGGATGTGCACTATTTTCTATTTGTTGCTAATTGTTGTACCTTCCAAGTAACTCCAGGCAATGTGATGTTTCATAGCTTGGAAACATTATTGTAGAAATTTGTTCAGCCTTTTACTAGAGCTGGAATTTAAAAAGCTTCAAAGTTATTGAAGGTTTGGTTGACCAAATTCTTAGCTTCAACATTTTTCTTTCAGGACACTTTTAACTGTGATAGATGGCCAGGACTAAATCTGATCATTTCTCTCTTAAAATGTCCACTTAAGAGAATTTCTGATGGGTCTTTTTTTTTTTTTTCCTTTGGGAGAGGGCTTAGTTTCTGAAGTAAGTAATATCAGGAAAAAGTGAATCTAGATAAAGAACTGAAAATTGGAAAGAGTTTTAATGATGTTGATATTCTTGACCTCCGGTTTATTCAGGCTTTGGTGAGTAGTCTCTACACGAAGATAAGCATTGTGTTCTATTTTTAGCATAAAAAGAAAAACAAACAAAAAATAAATAGCTTATGCCTGTTCCATTGTACACATCCTTTCTTTGTTTAATGCCTTGTGTTCGTTTTCTTTTTGCTCTCTCAATGTTTGTGCACTGCAAAGGCACTTTGTTGCTCTCTGTACTGTTTGTGCACACTACAGAAAGCAAGTCTAATAAACAGCTGTTTTCTTTATACACTGGCTGGGAAAGTGCTTTGATGGCTGAGCTGTGGGCTTGCTGGTGAGTCTGAGAGAGGGTATTAAAAATACTGCTCTAACTACTTCCTGGCTGTCAAAAGTTCCAACAGAACCTGTCGTGTCAATTGACAAGGAACTGCTTCAGTCTGTTAAGGATTGTAATGATATGAAGAAGGAAATGGCGTTGGAAAAGCTTGGCTTTACAACAGACTCTTGCTGAAAATGTCATACCAGTGACTCAGTGACGCGACCGAAGAGAACTGCAAAGTTTCATGGGTCAGTCTACAAAAATTAAACTGCCAAAGAATTTTTTCATGGTAATTGCAGCAAAGTGTGCTGAGATCTATCTGAAACTCCAAAGAGTTTCTCTTTGGAAAATTAGCCCTTACCCAGGGCTGACTTCATTTAATTTTTCTCTGAAGATCGTCCTTTGATGAATTCTTTCAGCAAAGGCAGTGCAATGTGGCCACGCTGATCCACGTGCTCCCATAAATTACCTTCACCCAGAGCAGCACAGTAACCACGAGCAAGAAATGTTATTGTGAATTCTTGACACCCTGGAGGAGATTCAGCCCTTTACCTTTCCTTACTTCATGTTAAGGATGTTTCTGTGAGGTGCAGTAAAGACTGATGGCTGGGTTTGTAAAACCACTTCACTGCCATAGAGCAGTTTCTTCCAAAATGTTTTAGAGTTAGTTTTGGCAGACAAACCAAAGCACTTTTAGACTTGACCTGACATAATCATGTTTCCTTACTGAAAAGGAAAAAGAAGAGAGATTCCCAGTTGAACAAAATAAAAATATTTTTATTTGGGATTTAAAAACAATAAATAAAATAAGGTGACACACCTACATACCTGGTAGTAGGTCTAGTAGCCATCAAAATTCAATGTACATTGAAGGGTGCAAGATAAGAGTTCAATTATTGTTTCTCACTATTAGCATTTCGTTATTGTTCACATTATTAGTATTTATTTCTTTAGGCAATGCCCATCCTACTTCTAAAAGTTTCTTTGTATTTTCACACTCCTTAACTTGTTCACCTTGCCATTGAAAAGTAGGGATCACTCACCAAAGAATGAATTAAAAAGTAGCAAGCAAGAAAAAACTGACAATTGGATTATACATTATTAGGTCTGTTCAGAAAGAGACATTTTGAAAAAAAGCTTCCCTTTTGGTTTAAGCTTAAATGAACATTGAGTAGGTGCTACTTTTCTCAGCGTTAGATTCTCTGTCTGAAAAGTATCATAGTTTTCTGAGTTGTCATTTCTTGTTTCTCTTGTCTAATATGCATGCAGACATGCCAAAGGTAAGTCAACAAACTCACCACAAGTGTAGTTTGTACCCAAACAGCCACAAAGGGTGATTACCCAACATTGTTAGCCCTCTGATAACATACTTCCAATCTGTTGAAAAATCCAAGAGGAGAGCATATAAAATTACACCACTCATACTGACTGACTTCTCTGTGTGTTGCACGGCTTTCAAACCATCCAGATAATCTGCTAACAGGTGGCATTAGTGAGTCTTGAAATGGGAAGAGAGATGTGTTTAGAAAGAGGCCAGTTTAAGAATTCACTGGGGCTGGTGCCATGGTTGCATCAGGGAGGCAATGAGATGGTCAGTGGAAGGTGTGTGTGTGTGTGCCTGGTCAAAAATCAGCTCTACAGTTGTCAGGGGTCATTCTGTGGTTCTTTACCATTAAAGTGCAGAGGATACTTTTTTGTTTTCTTTGAAAATCAGACCCATTCAATGTCTACCAAAAGTCAAATATCTAATTCTTTATTGAAACATGATTAATACTGGTAAATCTCTGTTTTCTGGTGTCTGAATGCTGCTGATCTTTCACGAATTCCTTATAATCAGGCACTGCTCTCATGTTTTGATGCACAGTGATCTGAGAAAATCTGTAAAAACTTATCCCACAGCTGAATAAAGGGAAGATTGTTCTGCTCTGCTATTCCAGGTCTGTGTTCTTTGTTTACCTGGGCTATTTGTGGAAGGGTTGAGGAATGGGGAAATTTGTTTGCAGATGTGATTATCAGCTGCCTTGTTAGTACTGTCAGCAGAGACCCAGATTCCTATCATTTTCTGGTTACTACTATTCAGAGTTAATTTCTGGGTGCATGAAATTGGAGAATGAGAATGTACTGTCTTGTTCAATAATAGCAGAATCATGATTTGAAAAGAATTGTTAACATGTTAATAAGGAGTTTAGACCTAGCTGATATTTCTCCCTCTCCTTTTTAAAATTAGAATGCTTTGCAAAGGCAAAGTCATTTGGAAAAAAAAACCAGTATTGAATTCATAGCATATGCAAGAATTGTAAAATATATTCAAAGTATTTGGTACAGATCATTGTTTAGTACAATTTGCTTGGTGGTGTAAAGCATAAAGGCATGCACCCTACTCTCAGAAGGTGCTTATATCAAAGAATTTGATAGAAGATGTCAACTAATTTTGAGTTCTCTACTTATGTATCTTGTGCTGCTGTTTATTTGAAATTTCCTCTCTTGAACGCGCTTGGTCAGGTGATGGAGACATCGAAACTGTTTCAGTAACTCTTGCTAGAAAACCTTGAAAAAGGTGGCAAAACAGATTAAATATCATGTTTTCGTTTCCACTTGCTGTTGTGTGTCTCAACTATTCAGAGATATATCTCAAGTCACTTATGAATCAAATAAGGAATTTCTCTTTAGTGGCTTCAAAAGGAGGAGAAGTAAAAGGTAGTGTAATGTGTTCTTTAAGAGAAAAAAATAGTAGGTTATCCTTTTGCTTCCTCTGATTTATGTATTTATTATTTATATGTATTGGAGTATGTATTTTTATTCCTTCTCTTCCTAAGTTTGTTTTACTGTCATTGATTTTGAACACTGGGTTGCTTCAAAATTCTCAGAAGAGTCACCTTTTTTATTCTTATGCCATACTCTTTTAATCTTTCTATTCCACGTAAAACCCTCCTTTACAAAGTGAAATTTCAAAACTTCTTTTTCTCATCTCCTTTATTTAGAATCAAGTATTGAAGTGATGGTTAGAACAGAAGGCAAAGAAATAACACCCACCCTCCAAACGGTTGGCTGTTCCTTTTGTCTTTTTGTATCAGGTGAAAACTTCACGGAAGAATGCTGATTCTCGAAACTTACTATTTTGTTGTCTGACTACAGAACCACAGGATATGCTGAGTTGGAAGGGACCCACAAGGATTATGGAGTCCAGCCCTCAGCCCTGCACAGGCCCATCCCCAAGAGTCACACCCTGTGCCCCAGAGATCATCCCAACGCTCCTGGAGCTCTGGCAGCCTTGGGGCTGTGCCCACTGCCCTGGGGAGCCTGGGCAGTGCCCGACCACCCTCTGGGGGAAGGACCTTTTCCTGAGATCCAACCTAAACCTCCCCTGACACAACTTCAGGCCACTCCCTGGGGTCCTGTCCCTGGTCCCCACAGAGCAGAGCTCAGTGCCTGCCCCTGCTCTTCCCCTCCCGAGGAAGTTGTAACTGCAGTGAGGTCTCCCCTCAGTCTCCTCCTCTCCAGCTGAACAGAACAAGTGCCCTCAGCCCCCCTCGCTCGGCTTCCCCTCAGGGCCCTTCGCCATCGCTCGGCTTCCCCTCAGGGCCCTTTGCCATCGCTCGGCTTCCCCTCAGGGCCCTTCGCCATCGCTCGGCTTCCCCTCAGGGCCCTTCGCCATCACTCGGCTTCCCCTCAGGGCCCTTCGCCATCTTGGCGCGCAGGAGGAGCCACACAGCTGAGGAACAGCTCATGTTATTTATGGGTAACATACACCCGCCTCTTAGTTCTCTCATCTAAAGTAAAATCCTTCTAAATATGAGCATTTAAATCCTATTTGTGTAATGCAGAGTTGCTAAATTGAAATTAGTGCCCCGGTGGTTTAATCTGACCTAATCTGAATTTTTTTAAGCAAAATGCTGGAAAAAATAATTACAACGTGTCTTTCCAGGAAGGCTTTGAAGTAGAATAACATAGATGTTAAATTGTTACTACAAATTAATGTTAACAAATAATTATCTCTCCTTCATCTGTTACCTAACGAAAATTTTCGTAGTTTCAAGTAAAATATAAAAGTAGGTAAATCTTGGAAACGATACTTTCACCCTCCATGAAAATGCTTCCTTTCAAATAAATGCATGACTAAATTTTTTTGGCCAGGGTTTCTGCCAAGGTATTCAGATGCTTAATTTGGAGCCTACATTTCCATTTCCGTAATATAAAAAGCAAAAAGAAGAAATAGTCACAAACTGCCCGGGTGAAATATATTTGTTTGTATGATGTTGTCACATAGAGGAAGGGGCAAATGAATAATTACAAATGTGAAACTAAGAAGATTAGTTTTCTTCAGCCAGGAGACAAGACAACCAAGAGTGATGTGGTGTAGAGGTCTAAAATCATGAATGGTGTGGAGAAAACAGGGAGTGAGGGGAGTACCACATCTGGTACTGGGAGAAACGTACAAGGATTATTATTTGATAACAAAATATGTTGATAAGAAAAGATAATTAAATGGTTCTCCTCAAGACATGTAGTTAATCTGTGGAATTCCTCACTGGGTGTGTTGTGGGAATGAAGCATTTATATCAGGTTAGTTGGAAAATGGAAGTGTCTAAGAGGAATCCAGTGAGGATCAGTGAACACAGAGACAGCACTGCCTGCTCAGGAGATCTGTGAACTGCAAATGGTTGATGATGTGGTGGAAGAAGTGCTTTATGCTGAACATGCCCCTGCTTTTGGCCACCACTGCTGGGGGTTGAACTAGAAGGGCCTTGGGTTCATCCACTACAGCCACTCTTATTTAATGTGGAGCTCCCTGGCATTACTTCTGACTTACATTTCGGCTGTTTTTCAAAAGAGGAACAACTTGTGAAAAATAACAGTTTTTGGAAAATATTCCAGTTGAAATTTTTCATTCCCTATTTACATCCAAATTATCAGTGTTAGTATTTGCTGTTGTTCAGAATTCTTAATTGCCCAGAAAGATTTTTTAATTTTTAGTAACTAAAAAAGTAATACTGAAATCAAAATTGATCGACAGCATACTTAGGCTAATTTATGTTGAAATCTTTGAAGCTTTAATTTGCAATTTTGTTGCTGCTGAAGTTTGGACTTTTTATCTAGTTTGGGCTAGAAAATGTTCTTCGTACATGAAAATATTTTCCTGTTCAGCTCTTAAAAAGTTGAGTCAGCTCTTACCCTGGAAGAGGTGGACAAGAGCTAAACAGGAAACCTAGATCAAAGGAGTCAAAATTCTGCATGTACTTGCTTATAACATTGTGATTCAGAGCATTGTTTTTCTCAATTTTATTTCAAAGGGACCAGGAGAAAATCTCTATTACTTATGTGCATGTCCCTTGGAACCATTTCACATATGCTGATATCATCATGACAGGTGTAAATTTTGATTAAAAAAATATACAGTCTTGCAAAATATAAGACATTTTTGGATTCATATTTTAGGGTAGTTATGCTGGAGGTGGGAGTTCATTTTCTTCCTGTGACCTTGCTTTTTTTGCTGAGTGATCCTGCAGTGAAATCACTTGTCTGGTGCCAACTTGCTGTGTCAGAAATTCAGCGTGACTTCTGGATCACAGCATTCTGTAATATGAGGAGAAATATATGCAGCAAGAATGTGTGTTTGAAGCTCAGAAAAAAAAATAACAAAAAATTACAAGAAATGAGAAGATAAAAACATCAGAACCTTTAGAATATTACACAGGGAGGTGTTGCAGAGTGGAACTCACTCGTTGGGCCATGGGACAGCCCTCCAGGCCAGACTGCTGCTATATTTCCTGGAAGGCAGGGGTGAATAGGACGTGAAAGATGATTGAGTGTTGCAGTGGGAAAAGAAAAAAAGGAATGTGGATGAGTTTGAGCTTTAGGGCTATAGTAACAATTACAGTGAGATGAGACAGCTCTCCAGCACCAGGCAGGCCCTTGAGAAGTGGGGGAATCTGCCTACCCTGGGTATAATTAAATCTCAGTCTACCCAAATGGCTTTTGTTCAATTCAGGGAATAGGACTAAGTATCCAAAGTTCTCAGTCTGAGTAGTGAATTGGCATCTGGTCCCTTAAAATTTTTGTACCTCCAAGGAACCTGCATTTTAGAGGAAATATTGGGAGAATTTTTAAGCATATGTTCTTGGGAGCTGTATTTTGCTTTAATCATCCTCTCCTCTCATTCTTCTTGTTTCCTTTTCTCTTGCCTCTCCAAAATGTTGCTGTTTTTTTCCATTGTGTCCTTTGATTTTTTTGATTTTTTTTTTTTTTTAAATTATAGAATTGTTTTCTTTTACTGTTTTTGTCTGAAAGCCTTAGTTAAGCCAAAATAGCTGAGGGGAAATCCTGTTTTTGTGGCACATAAGGACTTTTTGCTTTGACAGTCACTAGGTGTGTTCATCTAAGCAAGAGTTTGATGGTTTCACTGATATAGTATTAAAAGACTTTGATCATTTTATGTGTATCCTGAATTTCTCCAAACTGATCTTTCATAGTGGATGCCTGTAGGTATTTCTTCTAAAACCTTTGCAGTGCACACTGTTTACAGAAGTTATTTCCATGCAACTATGGCTAGAAATTAGACTTCTCATTGAACATTGAAGGAATTTGATCCTTCTATTAGACTCTAAGAGGAAGGAACATTCACTGTGGACGTATTTTAAGGTAGATTCTGCATATAGAACCAATCTTGGAATTTTTATTAATGCTGTCATGCAATTTTTGTTGTAATTTTCCTTGTAGAGGTGAGCTGAGTGCAGATTATAGCAGCTGCCATCACTTGAGCCATAGTTCATGAAACATTTTTCAGCACATTTGTCTAATACTCCAGTACAACACTCTTTTAGTAAAAAGGGCCATGCAATGGTGTCCTACAAAGATTTGATAGTCTAAGTTTGGGGTGAGCCATTATCAAAATTGTCTAAGATGTTACTGAGCTCTTCAGGCTTTTCCAGGAGTCCTGAGACAACTATTTTGGAAGATATTATTTTCTGGAATACTTAATATTTTATGCATGGGACAATGCAAAATGTTATTAGAAATATTAACAGCATAGAAAACTTTTTTTCAGGAGTTTTATCCTTTTAACCGGTAAGACCAGACACCTTTGCACACTGTGATTCCAGTCCTAGAGAAAATATGTATAAAATGATCAAAACTGCATTTTAAAAGTCATGATGCTGAGGTCCAGTGAGTTAGATGGCTGGGCAGGTGATTTGTGTCTCACTCAAAGCCTTAAATCTCAATTTCAAGTGAGATAAAGCTGCCTCTTGGCAGCACTGCAAGGGCACACAGTGCTGCAATTTTAACCTGTTACTGCAGTGACAGTGAGAATTTAGTTTCTGGGCCTCTGGCAGTATTTGAGGTTTGGGTGCAAAATTCCAAATTTGGGTTGGGGAGAGAAAGAAATACTTGGGTTTTTTCCTGGTAACTTAAAAAATTGCAGATTTTTAAGGTATTCCAAGACCAAAAGTCTGGAAACCAGTAGCAGTAAATATGTATTAGAGGGCAGTAAATTAGTACTATATAATAGTATAATGATATGTTGGAGTATAATTGGGTTCCTAATTGTCCATTATAGCTATGTAATTTATATAATTATCTTACATAGTGTTGTCTAAAGTGCATACACACGGAGAAGCATCTATATATTTATAAAAAAATCTATTCATCATTGTTAAATACTGTTTATAAACACTACAATGCTTTATGTACTTGATAAATCATATGACATTCCCCTCATTATTACAGCATTTAATATGAATGAAATATTACTTTGGGCATTTGTCTTAGAAGGTTCAAGTGTTTAATATTCAGAGACAATATACATAAAAGATCCAATTTTAAATCTTTGCTGTGCATCCATGCATTGCTGAACACTTTTTCCAGGTCCAGAGCATGGTTCTTAATGCAGATGAAGGACATGCTAACAGAACAGCTGCGGTAGTTTGGATAACCTTCAAAATGCTTCAGGACATAAGTCAACCACTAATTTCCTGGATGAATGTTAATTTTTTTTCTAGGTTACTCAGTATTGATGTATCTCTGACCAGATATTTGAGTGTCTCTGGTCAGATGTGTTGTTTCAGTTCCTGTAGTCGTGGGGGTTTGAATTTTGAGAACAGTATGTCAGATTGAAGAAAATTTTAACATTCACTTTCAGTTGGTTTATTTTTTATTTACATGTTTTTTGTTTAGTAGTTGTAGACTGACATGAAGCAAACTGAAGAGTTGAGATTGTTTTCCATATTTTGTCCTTTTCATGTCCTTAGGCCTCACTTCTGGGGTCTTTAGGTATGTGTCCCTCTGAGGTTATGAAGGTTTTACTGAGGTGTGGGCAGTGTTGGTGAGAGTGGAACCCCTGCTCCCAAAGCAGGGCCCAGGCCTGGTCCTGAGAGCTGTGCATCCCTGGAGGTGATAATGGAGAATTCAGAGCACCTAATTCCCCATACCTGAGCACTCCAGCCATGGCTCTTGCCCTCCTTTTATTCAGTTCACTCACCCAACACGTGAGAATTATTTTTTCTTTCTACTGGATCAGTTCACTGTTGGCTTAGCAAGCTAAAAACTCTTGCAGAAATCGGATAAGTCAGCATAAGAAATAAGAAAAGAGATCACAGAACTGATCAGGCAAGTTCTTCTGAAGCCTTCAAATGTGAAGATCAAACAGAGGCAGGATGCATCTAAAGACTTAAGCAAAAGATTTGTCACCCAAAAGCAGTGATTGTATAAAAATTTACATTTTAATTTGCTCAAGATTGTTCTGTGAAAAATAACACAGCCCACTTAAACCTTTTCTTATTTTTCTATTAGCATAAGAAAAAGCATCTTTGAAAGTGCCTGGAAAACTGATTTTATAATCTCTGTGTTCATTTGACTAGCACAGAGTTATGTAGGCTCAGAAGTTAAAAATTCTCCAAATAGTTACAAACCAATTGTATTTGGGCACCAATGTGAAACTTCACAGAATTGACTGGGAAAACCTAATGAGATTCTTGAAAGACAGCTGGAAGCACATTGCTCTCTGATGCTTGAGAGCACAGCACAGCCAAAAAGTCTCATGAATGCAGTGTGGGGGGAAGGAACAGCTTGTTATCAATCCAGAAATGGCCATCTCACATTCACAAACCCAGAAAAGAGATCAGTGGCTCAGCTGAACAGCCAGAGAGCCAGTTCTGCTTCTTGGTGAACAGCTGCCCTTGCTGAACATGGCAAGCCTACAAAAAGCACTAGAACCACGTCAGAGTGGCAGATTGTCCCAGCCCTTCTGTGCAAAGTGGAGATGTGACACAGAAAGGCATCGGGTAGCTGTGTGAGGGCACAGAAGGGGGCAAGGCCGAACTGTGGGCTCAGTCCTGTAATATTCTTGGCAGGGGCACTCCGTGGGACACAGCAACAGCTGGCTGCCACTGCAGCTGAAAATCTCCTAACTACAGTTCTCTGGAATGTGGGGGCACAGCAGGAACTGGAGAAATGGAAACCTGAGTGGGTAAATATGGAGATTACCTTTCTGCATTATCCTCTTAACTCCTCAAGTTTGTCAAAAGCTGCTTTACCATATTGTGCATAGGTGGTGCACATAACACTACAACTCATGCTTCTGACTTTAGTTGGCATGTTTTGTCTAGAATCTGTCATATTTTGTAGGGCAAAAAAAGTGGAACTGCTATTCATATGCAAAGAATTAAAGACACAAAATAGGAGGAAATCTTGTACAGAACAGTAGTTAAAGGTTATTCCAGAAGGCATCTTTCTTTTCACTATATATAAATTCACTTTGCAGTTTAAAAACACTTTTTTTTCTTTAATAAACTTCTGTAACAATAGAAACAAAATTATTTAGATGCAGAGTTTCCTTTGTATATAAGAACTTGAATGTACCTCTGAGTGTATTCAGTGCATATTACAGCAGTGGACTGGCATCCTTGTCTGCATCCATCTGTACCACCAAAGAGGTTACCACCTCCACCTTTTTGTCACCTCCCACCAGTCAGAAATTACCACCCTTACTGTTCTCTTGCCAGTGCTCCAAGGTTGGACCATTGCCTAATTGCTGCAAGGAAAAACAGCTAGGTTACCTCACATCACCTATTTTAACTGTTTAAACTATTCTAATTTATATTGCTTGAAACAAATTAGGGCATGTTTAAGTGAACTGACTTACTGCATGAGTTGGATAAAAGGGGAAAGTAAAAAGTGTCAGGAAATGATGGAAGTGGGAAGAGTGCTACAGGCAGGGCTCCTTGACTGAGCAAGGTGTTTGTTCATGGCCTGAGACACGTCCAGTGTAAGGATTCAGTAACTTCTGGAGATTCACTGTGTGTCATGCCTGGAACACCAAGTAGGTGAATTTATCAGCTTTGTTATTTGGCACTGCATTTGAGTTCAGCCTAGAATTCTTAGAGCTAAGTAAGTTTTTACATAAAAAGTTATAATAACCACAGTTTATGTGGCTAAGTCACAGAAGGTGATAATGTCTTATACACTACCAGACCATTTTGTTTTCCCTGTCTCCTCTCTCTAATTCACTGCATAATTTCCTTTTCCCTCTGGTCCCTCTCTTCTGAGCTATGATAATATCCAGTAAACATTCATATCAGATCCTCATTTAAAAAAACCCCACATTGTGTTTAATATTTGCTTTAGGAAATATAGCCTCTTGTTGCATTGTGCTGTTTTATGTGGCCTGAGTAAATCCACATGCCCATATGCAATTCAAATCTTCCCTGTCATACAGCAGAGCAACCAAATATAGCACAGTGACATGTGGTTTCTCAAAAAAGATGCTGTTTGTAGTGCTGCACATGGAACATTCATCCTGTCCTCAGAGCAAGTTCTAGAGCTGAGGACTCTCCAGTCTCTCTGAATCTCTTCATGTTTTGACAGTCAAAAACCAAACCAAACCAAATTCACCATCACCTCTGCTAATTGGTCAGTATAATTCTGCATGATAAAAGAAGTTGTCTCAGAGTGGAGACTGCTTTTTAGGCTGGAAAAATGTGAATATTTCAATGCCAGCTGCCAGCAGTGCCTTTGTTGACTGCAGAGTCAGCTTCAGCCAAGTTTGTTCTCATTCACGTGTACATCTTGGCTGTAGAATGGCATTTCTGGTCTGGTAAAAATGGGAAATGAGCTCAGCATCACCAGCATACTAATGAAAGCCAAATTTCCTCATAGCTGCTGGTAGGCCAGTGAATCCTGCTGAAGGAACCCCACAGCCCTGTGACAAGGGGGCACAGACTGAGACCACAGTCACACCATCCAGTTCTCAGGTTCTCCTTGGAGACCTGTACAGAGAAACACAGAAAAAAATCTGTAGGAAAAGCCCAGTTTACTCCACTGAGGCAACAGTTTTCTTGGGTTTATCAAAGGCTCATCACTGTAATGAAACCAGCATGGACAGTTGGACACAATTTTTGGTTAAGGAAGTCTGCAATGACAGCATTCTGCCCTTCACTGACAGAGAATAGTGACAGCAGAAACATTCTGTGTCACTGATTCACTGTTCTAGTGCTCCTCATATTGCCACGAGGAGAGAAATAAATACAAAGTGCGTTCCTACTGATATCTAGGACAATGTGGGAATTAATGGTGTAGTGACAGAGGAGCAAAAGTCTAAGCATCCACATTCCCTAGACCAGCTCATCAGACTCTTGTCTGTGCTGCTGGAATTTTTTTCCTCTCTATAGTGCACATCATGGATTTTGATTGTAAGAACTATTTTCTTTCTATTCTTTAATGACAGAAGAAATGAACACAGGATGATTTTTAGCCAGGGAATTGTGGGTGTTGTTTTGTTTTCTTTAAAAACTAACATAGCAGCTTTAATTAAAAAGAAAAAAAAATGTTGTTCAAGAATGATAAAATCATAAAAAAAAAGAATGTTGCTAGCAATAATTTTTTTACTGTGTGACCAGACACTTGAAAAATTTATTTCTAGCAGAAAAAATAGAGGATATATTTGAACCTAATTCAACAGAGAATTAGTTGTTACTAGGCTGAAACTACAGGGCAATAGATTTGGGGGATCCTAGGAGGAAATCTTGGTTAATGAGTCACTTTGTAATAAATAAGCAGGTGAGTTTGGCCGTGGTTCACAGCAGACATGAGATCTTGCTTGTGAAGGTTACTGCTCTGTTCTCTTTTCCAAGTACTAACTTGCCTCTGTTTTGGAAAAAAAAAAGAAAAACCAAACAAAAACCCAAACAACTTTGTGGTAATAAAGTATTCTGATAGCTACAACTCCAGTGAGCATTAGCAGAAGCTGAGTGTCATGGCTACTCATGACCATATTGATTTTGATAGAATAAATATGAGGAGAAAACAAGGTAAAAGTGCAGACATACAAGCAGCTAGGCAGACGTGTAGATAATAACTCTCGCTGTTGGTGATGACATTTGCTATTGAGAGCTGTTACTTCTCAGCAAGAAGGCCAGGTTAATAAAAAGCTATGAATTGATTTGACCTGGCATGTTTAAGAAATGTAAATTTTAAAAGAAAGTATGCAGTGAGTGAAGTCATTGTAGAGATTCCATTATTTTCTTCTGGTTTTAGAATTATTGATTTTCTAGGAGTGTTAATGTAAGTATTTCTCAAAAGGAATTGAGAAATTATATGTATTTTCCTGTGAAGGAAAATGCTACTGTATTTCTGTTGAAATGTTAGGGAGGTACTAAATTACTTATTTCTTTAATTATTCATTCTGTAAAGTCTTAATAATTTAGGTGACTTAACCTAAGGAAAGAAAGAAAAATAAATAACTTCCATCAACCATCGAGAGTGTGATAAGCCAGTGGAAAGTAGCAGAAGATGGCTTATGATAATTTAATTACACTAAAAAAAACCCAAACCCAACTTATACTGAGCTAATTGAAGAAACAAAATCCAAAGAGAACTTTAAAGAAAAAAAACCTAAAACATCCCCTCCCACTCCAATTTTAGTTCAGTGCTATGATTGTTATCCTGCCTATTTTGAGTGTTCCTGGTGCAATCTGGACAACACAGACAATCTGAGAATTTATAATCAAATTGATTGTGAGGAACACATTGGCTGCTCTCATTGACAGCGATGGGCAACTACCTCTGCTCTGCACTTTACAGGCTCTTTCTATTGATCCATTTTCTGTACAGTGTCTAATATTGCTGATGGTACATTGTTCTGATTGCATTTAATGATTAAATTGACATTTCAGGCTTGGCTGTTTGTCAGGGGGGTTTTGTTTTGTTTTGTGATGCTCTTTTTTTTAATTATTTTTAAGTTTACATCTGATAATAGACAGTCCATGTGCAACTGTGCTGAGTGCTGGTGTATATCATCACTTCCCAGGCCCCTGTAGCTCTCAGCTGGAGATATATCACATGTTTTCCATGGGGCCTGGGTCAGTTGTTATAAATGGAAGTGAAGCTATTTGTTGCCTTTGTTTTTCATTTTGTTTTGCAGCAGCATCATGGATTTTGTTCAGATTTATGGGAGACTGCCTCAACTAAACAACTGCCACTGCAAGCAGCAAAAGTCACACTCTACTCAGTTTATTTTGAATTAGAACCATCTATTACCCCTCTACAGTGAGTTTAATAACTCCCATAATTTTCTGCTATAGATTCACATAAAGGGCATGCTAGTTTTTAAAAGAGAAATACATTTTCTCCTACCTGGGCCTGACAAATCTATAAGCCAAACCTTCCATTAACTAAAAGAAGAATTTCCTTTATTTTACACAGGTTCATTCCTAACCTTTAAGGTAATTAGCTGTAATTATGCTGCTGTGTAATTATAGTGTTGATATTCTAAGTATCTTGTTTCTGTGGTGCTGCACAGACCTGACGTAGTAGCTGTGCTGTGGCCAACTTTTGGTGTGCATTTGTTGAAATATAGGGATAATTATTCCTTAAAATGAACGTTCATTTTGTCATAAGCATAATTCTTTCTCGGTCTTTCAGCTTTATTGCTTCTTTTATTAGCAGCTTTGCAATTTATTTAATCCTAAACAAAGGCTTTTGGGGAATGGAGGTAGGGATTATTTTGGTTTTTATTAACCAACCTAATGCTCTTAATCTTACACAAGTATGAGTTTATTTATGTGGGCAGGCTCTGCTCCACAGGCATTTTGTAGCTGCCACCGTAGCCGGACAGACCTTTTCAGGACACATGGGATAATTGGTTGACATAAGAGGTTTGCAGTTGTTTATACAACCTCTGTCATAATGGTTCATTTTATAAAACTGTCCTGGGAGATGCTCACCCACCCTTGCCAAAACCTTTCCTAGTCTGCCACATTTAACGTGGTTTTGTGTGTATTTCCTGGTATATCAGACTGCCGACTTCAGAACACTCTGGAAGCATCCCAGAAATCCCAAGAGAGATCACAAGGGCAGGGCAGCATTTCTCACAGTGCTTCAGTATGTTTGCAGTTCCAACTAGAATCGAGTGGAAATGAAATAACCATAAATTAAATTTTAATTGCTTTTTATCTGTTAGATTCTATTCTGTGATCTGCTGGATGGGCTTGATGGAACTGACATGTTTCCTTCATTTATGGAGAATAATTCCTAAGTCCCTAATAGAATTCTCTGAGCTCAGCTTTCAATGACAAATTCAAATAATGAAATGTTATTTATCTGAAATATATGCCTGAAATATTTGTAAGGAAAAAATATAATTTAAATATTTTCCTCCAAATTCTAGATAGAATGAAATATTCCCTCTTATTAGAGGAGAAGTGGAGACTATAAGGACTATAACCATGCCATTAGAAAATGAAATTCTAGTCCACATTTGCTTGTCTCTTTTGTCCCTGACACGAAGCTGAAAGAACTGAGGTCAGAAGTTCTCAGCTGTGGGCTGACAACCCACTGGTATTTCTGCTATCCTGAAGTCCAGATGGAACCAGTGTAGTCCATAGTTGGTTCATAATCATTTCAAGGGATATTATTATCTACTGTAATGAAGAAGAGCAACCAGGCCAGTCTGTTGGATCTGGAATGGAAGTAAAATGGGGAAAACAATGAAAAAAATTTTCATAGGTTCCCCATTCTTTTTCTCTAATAAGTTATTAGTAAAAAAATCATTCGTAATCTTGCAACAGTTGTGTTTGGACCATATATTCCTTTGGACACAAATCATGTTCCATAGTGTTTCTGCAGTACAAAATGATCCCAAAGGGCAGAGATTGCCCGGGGCTTGGTGTGGGACAGCAGCAGCCACAGCCCAAAAGAGCTTCTACTGTTCCCTTTATTCCTCCAGTGAGATAGCTGTTCTGTTCTCTTCAGTGTAGCTGGGCAGTAAAACATTTAAAGTTTCCTGTAGCAGAGCTGCTCACTGGCACTGAAGCGCCCTAAACCTCACAGGCACGGTTGAGTCAGCTTTCTTAATCTTGTCCTTGGCTCTGTAGGACGGGAATGTGTCAGCAAATAAAGAGCTTGGCCAGCATGCAGGGAACATGCCCGGACAATCCTGCACAGTTGCTTGTCCAATATATGTGGTGTAGGTGTGAAAACACAGTATTCCATTACAGCAGCACTCCTGGGCTGCCTCCTTTCTTCCCACACCTACGAGGCTTGCGACTTAACTGGTGTTGTGCTTTGCTTGGAAAGATAACTCCATCTGGAGGCATAAATTAAGTCAGTGTAGCTTTGAGATATGCATGAGCCTTTATGAGTTTAGATCCTGTTGGTGCTAGTCTGGGACTAGACGTGCCCAGGGCATATTTGCTGAGCATCATTGGTTTGAACACGATGCTGTGGTGGTTGTGCATGTGATACTGGGAGTGGGTATTTAAAAGGGAGATGTTGCTGACTCACAGACCTGTCAGATAAAAACAGTATTCAGAGAGGATACAATAGCTGGCCTGTTTGCCAACTTGAATAGAAAGTTAACTTTCAGTAGGACTGTGCAGACTGTATTTACTGAAAGGGAAGGCAGAGTAGCTTGGAGGAAGAAATATGAAGTGTGGAGACACGGACAAGCTTCAAGTAACTTACAGGGTCTCTGATAAAAGTATAGCTCAGCAAATAAGGAGTTCCTTTGGTGATTCACTATCTGTATTATTCTGTTTGTCATTTAATCTAACTTCAAACTCTAAAAATTGTGAATAAAACATATTACTACACACGTCAATTTGACATGCACCACAGGAACTGTTAGCTGGGGCCCATCATCTCTGCAGTGTAGGGGAAAACAGCACCCTGGCTAAAGGAGCAAGAGAGTTGGAATTTGAGCCAGTGGCAGTGCCAAAATGAGAGAATAAACATCTCTTCAAACCTTATGGAGATTGCCTAAAATTTGCCTGAGTGGCTGGGCCTTCCTCTGAAAGCTGTCTTGCAACAGATTAATTAAAGCAGACAAGCTTCTAGATTTTTTTTTTTTTTTTTTTTTTTTTTTTTTTTTTTTGCTATGGAGACAAATCAGTTTCCTTATAACAGCTTCTGATGTTTCAGACAGCCAAAGATTATGACAGGATGAAATACTTCTCCGTATTTAATTATCAAGTTTTTAATTTGAATTTATCAGGAGACTGGTTGAGTCAAGTCTGCAAAATTGTCAGGCAAGGGAATTTTCTAAAAATAAAATGTCGTTAGCAAGATACAGCATGTGTAAGATGAAGGAATTTATAAATAGGTTTAGGAAGTATTGAGCCCATTATAAAATAAACAAAAAATGGATTTTTAGGGATATGACCATGTTTCAAAGCTATTTTAAATGAGCCTAAATCCTCACTGTGGAGGCTTTGTCTCGCTCTTTCTATGGTACTGGGTATTCTCCAGCCCCACAATGAAAGGGAATGATATGAAAAAATATGTGTGGTAGAAAGCAAGCATAGAAAGTCTGCCAGCAGCAATCAAGTGGTCTAATTCATCTGACATTTTGCCTCCCCCCATCTCCTTATTTTTGTTATTGTTGTTTCGTTGATGGTGTTGTCTTTTTTAAAATCAGGAGTGTCCAAAGTAGCCTTCCTAGAAAAAGTGCAGACTTAAGTGGGGATGGGTCGCAGGAACCCATTGGCTGGATTTGTGGTTCTCTCACAGGAGATCACTTTTACAACAACTCTACCCATCTTTCCATGCTTGTGTTTGCACTGAGGAGTGAGCTGGGAGCACTCAAAGCAGACTCCTTGCAGAGTACTCCACACCAAACCCTGTGCCCTGGCAGTGTACCTGATGTGCTCCAGCTTCTGATGGGTGCTCATCCCCAGAACTAGGCTAGAACCAGTCCAGAGCGATTCCCAAGCTCTCCCCTCCCACAGGGGCTTGGAGTGGGCTCACTTTGGTCTTTTACACCCAATGTCTCACTGCTCAAATATGCTGTTATTGCACTGTGGGGCCTCTTGCAGTAAACATAATCTTAATTTGATGAATGATGTAGTTATGAGACCCTATAACAAGATGACTAGCTGGTAATGGAGAAGAAACAGTATTTAGAGCAAATACAATATATTTTCAAAGGAGAAATAATAGATTAAGTAAAATGCACTTCTAATGCCTTTCTTATAAACCGTGTCCTTTTAGTATATAAATTCATACTCTGGTGGAAGCTGAGGGAGACTATGGATTAAGTACGAAATTCCTTGTTCTGTTTTTATATTCAGGCACAGTACTGCATTGGAGTGTGTACCCAAAAGTAAAACCAAAGCAGAAAGAAAATGTCTTTTTATTAATTAAATGTTGGGGCCTTTTTCTTGCTTATCATATTTGAGGTATGTATTTTCAGTCTCAGGTGATATAGTTAATAAAAATTAGTTTTAAAACCAGTGAAGGATAAAGCAAAATATAAAACAAATATAAATTTACTTCATTGCTTTCAAATTCCCTTGTTGGCATGCTATTTTCTATTGCTTTCATTCCCATTTCACTACCATATTGCAAGCAGCGCTGACAACCAGCCTTTACTTATTTTTTTATTAGCAGTTCTATTTAAGAACATGAATATTTTATCCGACTACTTCACAATGCAAGAAACTTCTCAGAGGATTGTATCATTTCTGTTATTTAAGAGCTTGGTCAGGGTGTCAAGAGCGTAGCCCGATTCCAGGAGCTTAATCTTCATGTACTACTGTGTTCAGGAATTGTCTTTCTGTTTTCTGACTTAGTGGTCAGGAATGGAGACTGTGGGAAATGCCCATATTATAAAGAACTCTAAACCTGTTGATCAGATCTCTTTTTATCTCCTTCCTCTGACTGGATTATTTCTTTTCCAGGAGCAAACTGACAAAAATCCCTGGGATGGAGCAGGTTCAGGAAACCAGAGTGCTCACGTAAGAATTGTGAATCTAGGCTTTCATGTAACATTTCCTCTGCTGCTCTTGAACACTTTTCTTCTGACTATGGAAAGATACCTTGTTAAGAAAAGATCATCATATTTGACCATGTTTCTATGACTCCTAATAGGTAAAATGAGAGTGAACAGAGAGAACCATCATTTTTGTTTTGAAAAGCAAAGGATTGGAACATTCAGGTTTGGTCATAGTGGAAACTACAAACAAGTCTTGCCCTTTAGAATCCTGCTTATCATCTTATTCCATGCTGAGTGGATAATGGTCAGTGTAATCTCTTTGTGTGGTGGCTCGTATGTAACTGATGCAGGGTAGATTACAGGATGTGTCAACACTGATGACAAGGGAAAAGTTATTTTCCTGACAGAAAAATTCACTTAGAGCGGTAAAGATTATGTTCTTCTGAAACAGATTAATTTTGGTAAAGACAGAGATTTTAAAGCATTATTTTAAAGCATAGCTATCTCAGCATTGCTTTCCTCAATTTTGCATAGTTGATACAGAAGACAAGCTGGTTAGATAGCTTGACACTGGAGATTAGGTGTGATAAGCAAAGTCTGAAATTCTCTAGTTGTTTGTTCTCTATGTATTTAATAATCCCCTGGTTTTTCCTGTTGCCTTTACTATACTGACCCTCTGAATTCACCCACAGATGTACTGGCTGCCTGGAAATGTCAGGTGAATACCAGAGTATGCCAAAAGAGTTTCTTATAGGGTCAGATTCCTCCTCTGAGCTAACAGCTGTTGTTCAAAGTATATCTAATGCCTTAAACATTTGAATTGATCCAGGCTAAAACATATGGAAAAAGTTCAAAGATACAACAGCAACACGTGACTCTTAATTTAGTGAAAGCAATTTAGAGATAATGTGAATAATCCTTCCTAAGTGAAATTGTGAGTGAAACACTTTTTAATGCTCACACTCATCTGAGTTTTGTTTGCTTATAAATATGCATTTAATGTTTGCTTATTTTCATTTCAGAGGTGTTCACTGGCCAGGGTAGTATACATGCCTTCCAGCCCTGAGACACCAGAATCATGATCCCTCACGTCACAATAACAAAAAGAGAGATTTTTGTTTTCAGTTCTCTAATTTTGCACAATTTTTTTGTTGACACACAAACTGGAAACCATCTGTAATGTCTCCTAAAATAAGCACCATCCTCATTCTTTGGATCTGTCCACCTCCCGTTTATTTGGTAAATGGAATCTCTAAATGCACATCCAAGGCATCCCATGGTCCTATTATACTACCAGTGCTTGGCAACCTTTACTTAACTTTGTAACCTTAGAAAAGGCTTGTCAATGAGCCAACTGTGTGAGAATCATCACAGTCAGTTAGAAAATTTTGCTCTTTTCCTTTCTGAGAGTTAATTATGAGTTAGCAATGCTGTTTTTTGTAGAGAGGTTTGTCTCCATGAGGGAAAGTGTTCCTGAAGCATTTGACATTAATTTCTGTCACAGTGTTTAAAAGGCTTAATTTTAGTTAGGTGTCTAGGGATTTAGTTCCAGAATTCCCATTATCCTAATTGGTTTAGCAGAATGAAGCAACTCAATGCACTTCCAGGCAATTATTTCACCCTTCAGCTGCTGGCATCATACTAAAGGAAATAGATTATGTCATTTGTGTGTTCCCAGAAATTTACCTTGTAGCTGTGCCCTGGTGTCAGGAAATCAAGTCTCTAAATAATGAAAATGCTACAAATTGTTGCAAATGGAAGAAAATGACAGAGATTCCATCAGCAGCCAGTGTCACATCTCGGTTTGTGGGGCTTCCTTTTCAAAAAATGGATAACACAATTAAAAAAGCAGTGACCTTGATTCATCTTCATAATGGTACTATCACTCAGGGAGTGAAGGCCAAAATTTTGATGCTTTTTGTATATTAGTTTTAGAGGAAATGCATTTCTGGCTGCAGTATGACAAAGCAAATGCTTCAAGAATGGGACCAGGAGGCTAAAAATAAGGATTCCAGTCCTGGCATTGAATGCTGTCTCATAGTAACTGGAAGCTCAGTGTTTTTCGGTGCCTAATTTAAAGCAGAGGTAATAATACTGATCATGCTAAAATTGTGACCATAATTACTGGTGCTTCAGAGCTGCAGAGTTCTTTAAAATATTGAGTGGTGCCTTAAGGATGGCATAAAGTCAAAAGGGGCTGGCTGACCTCTGCAACCACAAAGTGTGATGTGTTGTGTCCCATGGAAGGGACCGATGGAGATCCTGAGGGCCTTGTCTCCAGCTCTGTGATTTGACTTTTGGCTGGATGAAAATGTGTTCAGTGTGACAGTGCATGGCCAAGTGGAGCTTGTAGTGAAGCTGCAGCCTCTGTGACAGACACAAACTCAGATACAGCTCAGAGTGACATAGGAAGCCCCCAATTTGGATGGCATTTGGATGCTGGGTTGCATGTCCAGCTAATGAAGAGCTGCAGCTTGTCAATCTGCACTGAGCTGGGCCTGGATTTTTTTAAAGCAGTGTTTATTCTGTGTTTCTCACTCTCTGCTTTTCACTTTTGCAAGGAATGATAGTTGGAGAAACATCTTGCCTGTTACCTTTCAAGACTCCCCATTGTTTCCAACTTCTTGCCACACAGGATAGTGACTTGTTTTTGGAGGGGAATCCTTTAGGTGCCAGGCCCCTGCATAGGAGGTTCTACAGTAAATATTTGCTAATTTTATTTTTGATAATATGTTACTTTTTGACTCCTGGTACAATTTTGCTTACTTTTGTAGAAAATTTATCTCTAGACTAAAGGTCATAGTGTGGGTTATTTTACAGACCCAAAATAGCTGATTCTAACACATTTCTTTCTCCCTTCTTTCAAATAAATCTGTAGCAGTGCTTTTTACTAATGAGAGCTATTGCCAGGCTTCCCTGTTATGGCACTTTGTTAGAAATGTGCTTAAGATACAAAAGAGGTGGCTCACTGGGCTTTCATCAGTTCTTAGCCACTGTCAGAATTAGGATCAGTGTTTTATTTGGAGCTCAGTGATTCAGTTCAGATCTCTCATTCTCGAGGGAAGGCTGCTCACAAGGGAAAAAAAATCAATTTTCATACAGACTTGTCTTCAAATTCCCACATAAAACACTAACTTAAAAGAACAGCAGTGTAGCTGAGATGGGGGATGAATTGTCTGAAACCTGCTAGAAAGTTTAAAATACAGCACCATTATAATAAGTAAGGCCAGATGTCTTCCTTTTCTCACAAAATCTGTTTAGACATTTGTAGAATTCCTTTGTTTTGGAACAGTTTCATCATATCTCTGCTTCTGTAGATCCTTTGGTACATGGATCAGACATATTTTTACCAAAAGCCTATTCACATGCAATGGACCAACCCTGTGTTCCTACAGAGGAACCAATTCACTGATTCTTTCAGAGATGTGAGCAAATTTTGCACCATATTGAGTGGCCTTTGGCTTCAGGTAAAGAATTCAACAGCTTGTGGGAGTGCTAATTAGTGCTAATAATAACTTCAATGACCTGCCTTGGCTTTAAAATGCCTGACAGAAATTACCCTGTCCTTGAAGGATAGAGATTTTGTGTCTGTGCCTGTCTGATTAGGGACTCTCATGCCCACATGTGTCTGTGTTTAGTGATCACACACAATTAACTAAGTGGGTGCATGTGTGTGGAGGAAAAAGAAGTGGGTGGTGTTGGAGAATCAAGAGGAAAAAAGGCAGAGATTTCCCAAAAATACTACACCAGAATTCCATTATTAAAAGGATTTCTCCTGTAGGCTAAATAGCCTTGTTAAATCCAGAAGTAACAATAGGAAAACATTAGATTAGGAACTGGATTGTTAAAAATTAAACTTTGTCTCTCTAATTTTGGAACTTTTTCCATGGTTAATTTGCTGAAATATGTATGTAGGGTATGAGGGAAATGAAAGCTTTAATTTGAGCAAGTACCCCAAAAGCTCCAAAGTAAAAAATTTTTATTTTTTCTGGCTAATAGGTTGCTGATGGTGCAGAAAACAATTGTGTTTTCAAGGATATTGCCCTAGACCTTTCCAATATAAATATTATTAACAGCAGCCAGAACAACGAGTTACATTATTTTATGAGCTGGAATGATAAATTAGGTTTTTTTCTGAGTTCCCTTTCTTTTGCTAAAGTGATTTTTGAAAAGCAATCAAATTAGAAGAGAGGAAGGGATCTTTAAACTTCTAATAGAGCCTAAATTTGATGATAGAAAGCCTGGTAAGGGAGCAGATTTATTTATTTATTAAAATTGAGATTAAAAACTTAAAAAAAAAATTTTAAAAATATTACTCAGTGGTTAGGGTGCTTAGTTCCTAACTAGACATTTGGCTTCAGTGCAGCCCAAGCAACTCTAAGCAGAATTCTTCCCTGTCTTGCTTCCACCCCCTCATTCCTGACCTCCTGTAGTCCCCGTTGCTGTCCCAGCACAGCTGGTCACTTAGTTGCAGAGTGCACAGGATCATGGAGCTTATCCAGCTAAAAAGTAGGATCACAAGAAAGAAATAGGATTATTTTTCTACTGGACCAGTTTGCAGGCTGATTGGCTGCAAGAAAAATTGTAGAATCATTCTCTGACTAAGCAGCTGTACTGGCACAGTGGAGAGGCTCAGGAAGTACCTGCACCAGTGGCCTGAGGCAAGGGCTGCTGAAGTTGTTAATGTCACCAAGTGGGTAATGAACCACAGCCTTTCCTTGGACTTTAAAATGTCTGCCATCACTGGGCACTGGCTAAATACAAAGCACAAAAAATCAAGTATTTGAGGCCTTGTTTTTCTCCAGAGCTGGGCAGATGCAGAATGTGGCCCCTTCTCTTTCATTAATATTAATATTTGATTTTCTGATAGATTTCTAATTTGGCATAACTCATGTCTTTAGTCTCATTTTGGTTATACTGTTAAATGACATTCTAGAAATCAAAGAGCAAAAAATATTCACATTTGATTACCTTATTATGATCAATTAAGCTTACTCAGGAACACAGTCATGTATTGAGGGA